ATTAAAAAGCATTGAAAATCTAGTATTGACCGATAGATTGATTTTTTAAGGTAATTTGGCCTACGATAAAGCCACGATGAGGTTATAGTGTATTTAGTTTAAATCCAGGTAAATTTTTCTCTTGGGACTATCCTTTGAAGGGGTTTTTCTTTAGAGTTATTTCATCAAGAAGTGATAATCAAGTTCTCCACTCTCTGTTGGGCATTAATAGCAGATTTAATTAAATTTTACTATTTCACCATACACTTCCTTGCATTCGTCAGACAACCATGAAGTCTTCTTAAATTTAAATAATTTCTTAGCTTTTCTTTGTGCAACTTCAGAGACATTGTCAATTTACTTAATTACCTTATTGGTATACAATAGACACCGCTTAGGCGATTATAGCGGAATTTATAACATTATGCCATGCATTTCCCTTCCCTATCTTTCGCCAACTAGAGATACCAAGTAGGGCCATATCCCTCTCTACCAGATCCTTCCAACGGCGTGCGGGTCTTCCTCTTCCTCTGCTTCCATCAGCGGGTACTGCGTCGTATGCTTTCACAGTTGGAGCGCTTTCATTCATTCGGTTGACCTGACCTAGTCAGCGTAGCCGGTTTCTCTTCACCGCATTACTCGTACAACTCCTTTTCCATCGGCTGTGGTAATTGCCGTTGCCAATGCGCAAAGAACCATAAATCCTATGCGAAATTTTCCTCTCGAAGATTCATCAGATATTGCCATCGTACATGCTTTCGCACCACATGGCAGGACAGGTTTGATGGCGAGCAATTTGTAGAAATTAGTTTTCATTCGCCGAGAGAGGATTTTACTCTTCAATTGCTTAATTAATATTGGTTTCAAGACAGAAGAAGTTATCTACGAACTCGTAGTTATGACTCAAAAAGTGAATTTGAAGACAAGTCCCGAATGTGATGACTGTTTATTTGGGTCACTGCCAGACACATTCCCTACGTTTCTATGTCAAGTTTGAAGAAGGCAGATCTAACGACACGGTTTTTAAGGCTTGTGATATCAATATGTTCCGCATAGACCAGCTGTTTTATGAAAGGTTGTGCCTTGTAGATTTAGCTTTGCTGCTCTTATTACTTTTTTCGTCAAATGGAAAAAAGGTGATATGTATCGATAGTCGTCTCACAGGTATCTTCCAGGACTTTTCGCATGGTGAATATCTGATCAAATGTTGATTTACAAGTTCTAAGGCCCAACATATAAGGTCCGATTCAAGCACATTTACAGCACTTCACTGTCATTCAATAGTCGATAAGTTCGGCCGACAATCTGATCGCGTACGAATTTTTTCCATCGAGACTTAACTTAATGAAGCTGGATGTTACCACCCACTAACTCATCAAGACATTCTGTTACCATATTTGATGATCTGCTTGTGCTAAAACGTAACCATTCGTACTAATAGAGGGAGTGGGGAAAATATAATAAAAGGATAATGCATACTTACGTGAGAATATTGAAGAATCTATCTAAACACTCTCCTGGAATTGGCTTTAAGAAGAATGTACATACAAAGCTGAGACACAAATACTGGAACTATGTCATACAAACGATGTAATAATACTAAAATGAAAGCGGAATAAATCACGGTCGCACAATTTGAAACGATTACAAAAGGAGAGTAAGTTAAGCTAAGGAATAACAGGAGAGTAGGATAGGCCACGGCACGAGTATGGCACTAGAGCGCCTAAAGCACTACTGAAAGCATTCTTCACCCTAGAAAAGAGTCACTAGAAGTTCATTAAAATCAATTTTTTGCACGTTTTAATAAAATTTTCCTTGCAATTATGTCGGAATCAATTATTATTTTTTATCTAAATGACTGACTAAACGAAACGACAGGCTCAACGAGAGAGTCTCGAATATACCAATGAATTAATAAAGTGATGAGCACTGAACGCAGAAGATCTACCACATTCAAAGTGATGCATATAATTTACGTCTACCTAAATGGACTGACTTCCTTCCTTCCTTTTTTCATCAAGTAATCAAGAATTGCCGTTCACAAGAACTTTATCCAATAGCTCGTTCTTTGCCGGCAGAACATTAAGAAAAAAAATCTAGCTTCACTTCTAGAATTCATCATAAATAAGTTTGAGAGCCAATGGAAATTTGTATGAACAATATAAGGTCATAAACAATTCTATTTTGCGCAATTTCCAGGCAGTGTAAACAATAACAAATTCCCTGGTTGCCTAATCTCTCGAAAGAAAAAAAAAATCACATACGAATACATATAATAAAGCTCGTGCTACTTAACTGTAATGAGTGTGTAGTACTCTTACATAACTCCAATTATCAAAAGAATTATGCTGAAATTATAGTCAAATCATAACTGAAAATCGCGACAAACAATTCAAAAATTTTCATCATAAACGCAACGCACGAGACAATGAATGAATGAAGAAGAAGAATAAGAATAAAAAAAGCCATAAAGCGTTGAGCATGCAACACGACAATCTACAATGTAATATTACGCCACTGGGGCAAAAGCAAGTTCAATGCAACATAATAAAATTGACCTTAGGCATTGGTACGTGGTAAGGAAAACAAAAATAATAATAAAGAAAAATAAAAAAAAAATTAAAATTAATACAATTGAAAAATAAAATCACATGACTGTTCCAATTTTTTACTATTTTCGAATTTTTTTTTGTTTTGATTATTATTTTTTTTCTTTCATTTTATGGCGTTGCAACACACACTTTACCTGCCTTCCCACATATTTACATACATATTGCAGTAGTAAATGTTCATGGCACCGCGCAGCGCACACATGTTGCACATATGCAAAGTTATTTAAAACCAACTCATATAATATATAAGAGTTTGTGCTTTGACAAAGGTTGCATGCCACATAAAATAAATTAAAGGTTTTTCTCATTTGTATTTATTTTTTGTTTGGTTTTTGCTTTTCATTTACCAATCTTAATGCCAAAAGCCAATGTCATGCGAATTGGGGTGCGAAAATTGTGTGACTATGCGCCCGAACAATGATAGCGCCCACCCTTGTCATGCACACACGTCGTCAGCTCACTCGCCGCTCACTACCTGCCGCTTTGTCGTGTGTGCTGGCCTTCAGCGGTGGGGAACTGCCACAACAGTACATACATGCATATCTACTAATTTTTATAAGGAAAATAACAACTAAACATATGTTCTTTATTTATTTCTTTTTTGTGAAGTGTGAGTATATATTTTATGACTTTATTATGTTATTTTGAGGTTAAGTACGATACGTTAAGGTGTATGCATGAGCATTTAAATGCGAGTATTCAAATACAAAGTTTTTGTTATTAATATTATTATTTTTTTTTGCTTTTTTTTCATTCACTACAAATACAATGGGTTATAAAAAATGCCTAGAATAATTGATAATTAAAGTAGTAATGAGCTTTTGTAGAATAACTCTGAGAAAAGCTCACAAAATAAAACTTCCCAGTTTAACTTCTTACTCTTTGGTACCAAAAGAAAAGTATTCGCCGAATTTTTATTTCTATTTTAGGGCAGTCAAAAATTCAGAAAAAACTAAGAGAAAAGGAGAGAGATTATTAAGAAATGCTCTCTTTTCTTAAATGGCGTCGTGACAAGGCGAGAGCGTGAGGACGAGCAACGAGAAATCACGTAAGAGAAGTATAAATCGACGAAATGAAACGAAAACTCGACTCAGATAAGCGAAAAATCGACGAATAAAATAAAAAAATTACAGAGTAATACCAAAAATCGACAAAAGAAAACGAAAAATCGCCAAAGAGAAGTAAAAATCGATGAGAGGAAACGAAAACTCGACTTAGATAAGCGAAAAATCGACGAGAGAAACCAAAAATCGACGAATAAAATAAAAAAATTACAGAGTAATACCAAAAATCGACAAAAGAAAACGAAAAATCGACAAATACAAACGTAAGGTCTACGGAGAGTAACGTAAAATCGATGGAGAGTAGCCGAAAAAGGCCAGAGAGGAAAAATAAGAATTTGGTTCTCTTGACAAAATGAGAGGAAATTATTTATATTATATGGGATAGGGGAGGGGATTTCTGCACCCTCTAGAATATATAAAATAATTGCCAATTGTTCTGAAAGAATTTTGTTTTCTTAGTTTTGAAACTAGAGTATATCTGAAAAAGCTTATGAGAGAAACCCGCGCCTAAGTTATCTCAGAGAACTGAACTAAAATATTTGCGAGTAGATCACGAAAATGTCTAAATCTTTGACATCAGTACAAACCAAAATCAAACTTCATCTAATTAAGGGGGACTTCAGCCTCCTCTAAATAAACTATATCAAAAAGAATACTGAAAGGATCCCCGAAAATTTTTGGATCTACGATATTAACATCAATTACTTATACCAAGAAGATCCCATTGTCTCTGCCAACTAAGATATATATCAAAAGGAGAACAGGGAAAATTCCGCCAGCAGTCTGAATGTTCGATATAAAACCACCCACTTCTCAAGCCGAAATTCAGGGGAAGCTCATTGTCTATTGACAAAGGAACCACAGTAATTTCTTTAGGAGTTTGGTGCAAATGGGGAATTTGGAGCTCTAAGTATAAGATAAAACGAGCGCATAGTAGAGGAAGTGAGGGCAAGAGTATGAGTTGTTGAGCCGCTAACATCTGGAGATTTGAAACTTCTAACACAAGACTACTTGTTCAAGGATTCAAGCGTCTGAGACTAAAAACATATAACGTAAAAAGACGCAAAGTAATCAGGAGACTGCGAAGAATAGGTAGAATTAAGGTATGTTGTTGGCGAGATCCCGAACAAAGAACTACCGAAAAGATTTCTGAAGGCGTTTCTAGAATGAAATATTTCGGAGGGAAATGAAAAAATAAAGCAAAAAGCCGGAAGAGCTGGTGAAAATTAATTACGAAAAGGGAGACAAAATATTCATGTTCTGAGTGATCTTCTCGGCACCAAAGACGACATAATTTCTCCAATTCAAGTGTAAATTTGACACCTTTCTCGATAAAAAATCTCACCTAATCATCCGCTAGGTGTGCAGTCGGTTGGGCCGCAATCGCTGTGGCGGCCATGGCACGAAACTGTAAGCCCTGCTGACTGGCCGAGGCCCAACTACGCCGTGGCAAAATACGACCAAAGTTAAAATAACGTTGCCTTAGCTTATCTTTGATTTCATCCTCGTTCATAATGGCGCTTGCTTCGCGAAAATTCAGAAAGATGCGTCCTTTCTCATCCGTTTTTATGGGCAATATTTCCGTACAGACATTACGTGCTTTCAGTAGGAAACCCTCCTCCACCTGCGTGTCATCTTCATCTTCACACGCACTATCAGCGCCACGTTCCGTACCACCATCACCATCTTCCACCTCAGCAACGGCGTTATCGAGACGCGCATCCACCGATTGCGAACGTGGTGCTTTCGCGTGATGTGTACTGTTGTGTTTCTTCTTGTTGCGTAAATAGAATGGATCACGTTCGCTGGCCTTGACATACTGCACAACGGGCCGATTGACACCCCATTTTGGACGATCGTCCACTTTGTGGTTGGCATGGTGACTATGGTTGGTGTGCATGCTCACACTGAGATTGGTATTGGTGAGTGCGCTCTCTTTTTGATTGCGCTTGTTGCGTTCACGTTCTTTTTCCTTCTCCTTGTCTTTTTCTTTGTCTTTCTCTTTGTCTTTGTTATCTCTATCCTTTTCCTTGTCTTTATCCTTGTCTTTGGATTTTGCCTTGAAGGTTGTTGTTGTGGTTGTGGTGGTTGTAGTTGTAGTCTCTTGATCTTTATCCACCTCTTTGGCTGGTTTGTTTTTAGTTTTTGAGGTCTGCGTTGTTGTTGTGGTGGAAACTTCACGTTTAAGTAAAACTTTGTAGAAATTATCATGAAACAAACAGAGGTCACAGTTGAGTGGCAACTCTGTTTGCGTCTCTACATCCTGATGCGCCTGCTGCTCGGCCAAGCGTTGTTCACTGCTCACTACCGGTGCTGTTGCTAGTGGTATGAGTGCTAGTTCTGCTCCTTCCCCACACTCAACTTTCATGTTTTTACTCTGTGTGACATTCTCTTTCCTTGTTGCATCCGCCTCAAGCTCGATAGCAGTCTTCTCCATGTCTTCGACAGCACTTTCCATCTGATAGCCATCTTCCGTGGCGATTGAGGTACTCGTGCGGTTCGTGCCGTCGCCTGTAGTTTTCGAGAAGTCTAGCGTTGACGCTGCAGTATCTGGTTTCAGTTGCTGCTGCATCCAATACGTGGCGATTTGCAAATTGCCTATAGCGTTTTGAAGACCGAAAATATCGCTCGTAACGGGCAGTGGTATGAGTGTTGCTGGTTGCATAATGACAGCAACATTTTCATGTTTTCCGGCCTCTTTCGGCTCCTTCTTCACGTCGGTGGCTTGCACAGTCTTCTTTTTGATATTTCGGCGTAAGTTTATTGGCGTGCCTATGAGCACTTTCTCCTCAACGTCCTCCATTTCTTGACTCTCTTCTTTTGATTTCTCCTTGGTTATTTTTGCCACCGAGTTTCGTACGTCTGCTGTCTCAGTTATTTGTTGTGGCGGTGGGGTGTTGGATCGCTGTTCGGGCTCGTCAACACTCTGCAGGCGCAGTATCTGCACTTCATGCGACTTTCCAGTTTTCGTATCTACTTCAAGCTGCTTTACAAGTTCTTCTCTGTCTTCTCTTACATTATCGGGGACACTCTTTTTCGGCCGATTTCTTGAGTTACCTTTTGTCTTCGTCAACTTCACTTCTACTTCTCCGACTTGCGTATTTTCTATAGTCACAGTGGCTTCTAACTCCTTTTGATTTCCTTCCTCACTCTCATCCAACGGTGGCACTCGCAGTTTCCGCTTTCTTTGCTTATCCTGCTTGGCCGCTTCTTCGGCTTTAGCGATTGCATCCAACAATGCCTGTTGCTTCTTCTGTTGCATCTGCTCGCGTTCTCTCTGCTGTCGTCGTTCCCAATCCAAACGCTCTTGTTCGATCTGCTTTTGTCGTCGCAAACGTTCCTCCTCCTGCATTTCCTCTTGTTTGTGGCGCTCCACCTCCCACTTTCGTAGCATTTCACGTTCGTGTAACTGTTGTTTGATCGCATTGTGGTACTCGGCTGCCTTACGTCGCTTGTCGATGCGTTCGGCCATAGTGACGGGATCGACGGGTGCGTTCTGACCGCGCAGATAGGAGGAGTGCATGGATTGCGTATCGTCTTCGCTATCTTTCAGTTCGTGAAGACCACGATTTAACCAATTCGGACCGATGTTCTGTTTCAACGAGTACTCGTTTTGTACACTATTTGTGTTGCTGTTGTTGTAATTTGACCACTTGGCGCGTTCGCGTTCGTCATGCGTCTGCTGTGCCGTCATTGAACTGGCGAAGTACTCGTGCTGGTCGCCGGGATGTATGGGGTATGTATTGGATGTGGATATGTCGCGCGTGCTGAGGTTCGAGGGACTAAGTGGAGTCATGTAGTAGCTGAAACGGTTTGGAAAAATTATTGAATATTAAAAATAGTTATACACAGAACACAAACAAAAGTTTTAGGTAGGAACCGTCGCCTTGACAGATATTTCGACAAAACAAACTGTACTTTTGGTCGTCAACACACTCACCTGCCCTGGCAACTGTCCTCCATTCCGCTGTTGTATGAGCGTGCTACAACGTAGGTGGAATTCATTACTTGTTGTTGCTGCTGCAGCTCATCGCTTGCATATTGTTGCATTTGTTGTTGCCGCTTTTGGCATTTGCCGAGTTGTTGACCTGTTATCGATCCGTTAGTGTGCCTACCAATACCCTCCACAGGCGCGGCGACAACACCCACGCCAGCGGCAACCACAACGGGCATCGCACCCACACCCACAGCTACGCCCTCCCCGCCATTACCACCACTATTGGACGTACCGCTGCTACTGCGCTGCAGACTAGCCGCGTCATTATACCAGATCTCCGGCGTGTGCGGGTTCTTTGGCGAATCGCTGCGATAACCCGACGTGTCTTCTTCCTGGCAACCAGGATTGCCCGGATTGTTTTGATTATTAGATCGATGCGGCGCGTTGTTAGGCGCACCCAACGGTATGCTATTGCCACATACCGCTGCTGGCGCCAATTGTGTGTTATGTGGTGGCATTTTCTGGTTCGGTACACTTGCCACCACTGTCTTATGTTGCTCCCGTGACTGTCGTTTTGCGTAGTCCTGGTGTCTTATGATGGGCAAGCTAGGGCTACGTATGCGCATTTGTGGCCCATTTGGCTGCTGCTGTTGCGGTACAGTTGGCATGGCATGTTGCATACGCGCTTTGGCCGTTTGTAGACCTTCACCAGGCAGAGTCAGCTCATCGTATACATATTTACGTTGTCCAGGTATCTGTGACATCATGCTTGTGGTATGATTACGTCGTCCAGGGCCACGTGGCATAAATGTTGCTCGTCGTGCTGGCGGTTGTAAGCGTTGATACCCGCCGCCAAGAGTCATTTCATCATCTTCATAATCTGCGTCCACACCCAACTCATCATCAACCACATCTATATATCGTTCAAGCTCATAATCGTAACCATTCACGCCACGCTGCAGCTGTTGTTGTTGGCGGGCAACATGTTTTGGTTGCATAGTATTTTGTGTTAGCGGCACAGCATATGGGTTAGCATTGTGTTGTGGGTAACGGGGCAGCAAGTCTGGGGCATAGGGTTGCAGCGGCTGCTGAAATTGTTGTTGTTGTTGTTGTTGAAATAATTGCTGTCTTGAGTTGCGCTGCTGATTTTGCATTTGTGTCTGGCTAACGTCCATATTCGAGTAGTAGGTGCGTATAGAGGTGCGCTCGATTTTGTGCGAATGATGTGAGGATGCCATGGTAGAGTGCTGATGGTGCTGAGAGGAGGAGATGAGCTCGTCCATGCGGGCGATTTCCTCTGTTGGAGAAAAAAAGAAGACGGGCACTTATTTAGCTTTAGCAATTCAATAAAATTGCGTTTCGATAACAATTTTATTTCAAACAAAATTCAACGGACACCGCTTTCATATTATTTGATTTAATTCCAATTTACAATAATAATAATTTTTGTTTATATTCTCAAATTCCATTTAATTTTTTTTCTAATTTGACCTTATATTTTCATCTTTTTTTATTTTTATTTTATTTTTAATGAATTTTATTGCTCTCTAATTCATTTTGTTTAATTTTATATTATTTTATTTTATTTTATTTCATTTTATTTTGTTTTATTTTATTATGCTTTATTTTATTTTATTTTGCTTTATATTACTTTATTTTATTTAATTGAATTTAATTCAATTTAATTTAATTTTATTTTATTTTATTTTATTTTATTTTATTTTATTTTATTTCATTTTATTTTATTTTATTTTATTTTATTTTATTTTATTTTATTTTATTTTATTTTATTTTATTTTATTTTATTTTATTTTATTTTATTTTATTTTATTTTATTTATATTATTTTATTTTATTTAATTATATTTTATTTTTTTATTTTATTTTATTTTCTTTTATTTCATTTTATTTTAGTTCTTGCTGTTTTGTTTAAGCTAGTTTAATTTTTTATATTATTCCCACATGTTTTACTTACCCCGCTCCTTAGCCCATTGCTGTTTCTTTAAATCCAATAGTGTATGTGTTTGTCTGCCTTCAGCGCCAGTTATCATGCCGATTATGGATTACACGCAAAAAAGTAATAATACAGCTCAATTATATTATGGTTATTGTATAATCGCATTTACTTATTAAAGTAAGCAAAATTTATTATTTTCTTAAAATTCAGCAAATAAAAATTCTTTACTTTACACAACACTCGGAATTGCTGAAAAATCGATTTCTAACTCTCATTATATATATTTAAGAACATTTTTCTCGAATATTTTCTGTAATTTACTCCTGCAGTCACTTAAGTGTCCCTTTCCGTCCTAAATATGAGAATTCCGTTAATTTTTCCATAATTCACTCGTCATTATTTTTCAACAGCACAAAATTATCCAACACCCGCGTGTCAGCGGTTATACCAACTTAAACTAACTTCCTGCATTTTGCGCGAATTCCGTCAGTGCCAGGTCAAGCTAACAAACAAGTTAAAGGAACTGCCGAGCTCGAGCCTTCAATAGCAGACCGTCGGTGCGAAAGCAGACTTCGTGACGCTTTTTGTTTTGTTTTTCATCAACTTTTTTTCTGTTTTTTTTCCGCCTTCCTGCATATGTGCTTGTGCTATTGTTTCCCTTTCGTTGCCATTGCCTCGCTTTGTGTTTTGTATTGGAATGTTTTCTGGTTGTCAATGACAACCCGGCCACTCAACCGGGTATTGGGGTGGTAAGTAATTAAAGTTTTTGTGGTATTTGCGGAGTAGGTTAATGGGGTTAAGGGAGGATTTTATATATGCATTTATTAACTTTGTTAGCAGGTGGAATTGTTATACATGTACTTGTTTATATGTATGTATTAATAATTAATACATATATAAATATTAGGAAACTATTGATAATTCGTTAAGACATGACAAGGGACTTGTAAACAAATTCTCTTAGGAAAAATTTAGTGCATCCTAGCCTTTGGGTTAAATTTACTCAAGGTCCGCGCATTTTTATATCTAATTTCTTTTTAAATCCTTAAGAGATTGCTATATTTGTGGTGTCTTTTTCAACGATTTGAAGTTTGAAAAATTTGTAAACATTAATTGTCCCAGCGTGTTTGTTGCTTTTGTTATTGTAACCTGAAAATTATGATCCCAATTGGTTTTTGCACAGCACAAAATTCTGGATTCATCCCTTATAAGTACCTCTAATGGCGAACCTGACTTATACCCGGTTAATTTAAGCTCTTGCATTCTGCCTAATATAAGTTCGTACACCTTTTCCACTCTACATTTCACCATAATTGCTTTTCTGCTGTCTACTAGAAAGCTAACTACTTTTCCTTTGATTTCCTGCTCACATGGCTAACCACGTCCAAGTTTTGTAACAAGAACCCATTGGTATATAACTGCGTGCCGCTTTTCTCAATATTTTTAGAATACTTCCTTTGAATAGCATCAAAGTCGGCTTATAGAGATCTTTTGGATCGCGATTCTTATAATATTAGTCAAGCTTAGTCAGCCTCTAGACTATGCAATTTGTGGAACGGACTCTTTTCACTATCCCCATTCTGCAAGAGAACCTGAAACCTGAATTCTTGGAACAAACTTTTATGACGAGAAGATACAATGATGAAGATGCGTTTTCTGCCCTGCCTCATTGCTAACAATACCGCTAAAGCTGTTCAACCCCACTGTCTCATTAATGATACCTTTATTTTATCACTTCTAGTGAGTTGAGAATACTTGAGATTGAAAGAGGTCATTCGAGTTGCCGGAAATTATGGCAAATTCTATATGTAACTGGTACGAAATTCTGTATGGATGAGTCATGAGGTCGATCTGGATAATGAAATGATCAGATTTCTATTTTTTCAGAGTTCGTTTTTCTGTAACAGGTACGATATCCATCGCTACCGATGTGAAAAAAAAATGTATGACTATCAAAAGTGTGGAAGAGTTCAAGTCGTGAACGCGGCGACTGTTTGTTTGATGACAGAAGACATTTCGTATTTTTCTCGTCTGCTACTAGAACGCTTCTCGTTTTTTATGCAGCGAAAAAGCGAGTTATTGAGACCCATGATATCAATATCATCGCCATGAACCAGCAGTTAAACCATCTTTAAGGAAACTTTAACTCCTCTACTAGGCTCTGCAGCTCATTATTACTTTCTCCAGCATGAGTTTATTATCGGTGGGCTCTGAGAGAACATTCCAAGTTCTGGCGGAGCATTTAATGTTGACCAGTGTCTGTGTACACAACCGTTTCAGGTCACTACAATAATTTTTCGCATAACGAATATCTGGGTAATTGTGGATTTACCAGAACTGAATGTACACTGACAACCTTGGAGCAGTTTGTTTCTGATACCACAATTATTTGCATAGACTTTGGTAAGCACTCTTTTGGGTTCGCCATCTCCGGCTGTTCTACTTTCACAGCGGAGAAGTATTACCATAAATTCAGATACTGAGAATGTCAGTGTCCTCTTTCTCGATCTTAAAGGAAATAGTTCCAGTCTTAAAGTCGTCTCGTATATTCCTCGAATTTTTGCGCATTTTCTCGAGTTCCTCATGTTGATGCATTTCACACCCTCACTTCTTTTGTCTTAATATACGTCTCGCTATCTTCTTCAGCTCTCGTAATTTTTCGCATAAGGATAGCAACGTTGCATGATAGACAGCTCTTCATCTCTCCACTGTGGTGGAACAAATTTGTATTATCGAACCCGCACTTTTTTCGAACATGTCGAAGACCAATAATTTCGAAACAATCAAAGCATAATAATTATGCCAATAATTACTTGCCTTGATTACCAAAACGAAAACCATTCAAAAACAACAACAACAACAACAACAAAGAAATATTAATTACTACAACCACCTTCTTATTCGCAATCTTCCGCTAAATAGTCATAAATCCAGTTTGCATATAAAAATCAGTTTGATTGATGACTGCAATCAATTTTCACTGAAGATGTATGAAATTCAAAACGTTTACTCGATTAGTTAAATGGAAAAATGAAATAATAATAATAATAATGAAAATAAAAGTAAGAAACCACAAAACATGGAAATAAAATCAAAATCTACCACAAAATTAGCAACACCCAAAAATAGTAAAATATGCGAAAAATTGAAATATTGAAATATGGCAAAAGCGCAAAAAAATACCAAAAAAAAAAAAAAAAACATTAACAAACGAGCGAACTAGACAAACTAGATAACGGGCACACAACAACAAATAAATCGAGATAAAAAAAGTAAAAGGCAATTTGATGGACAGCAGAGCTCGAAATGGCAGATCTATGTGTGTGCATGCCTGCATGTATGTTTGTGTATATATAGATATTTATGCACGCCAAAAATAGTTGTATCTCTTGGCATTTATATTTAAGTTGGCCATTTGGTTTGGTGGGACAGCAGGTGATTGGTGAAATTAATCAAAATCAAATGATGTCAGAAATTGATGCTGTAGCATGATGTGTATGATGTCTGCATATGTACATATATGATGTATGTATATATGTGAGCACTCAAATATTTGCTTTGCATAGAGTAGAGTGCAAAATATTTGGAAAAAATAAATTAAAAATAAAATTTGCATGCAAACATGCAAATATAAATATGTACTTATATGTATGCTATGCAATAATTGTTGATATATATATATGTGTATACTTATGTATCCATATATTTGCATTAGCACGCTTGTTTAGCTGTTACTAATCACTTGTTTTCACTAAAATTTGATCGTTACGTTTTTCGGTTAGCTTTCCTGCTTCCTTTACTTCTATATGTATTTATATGTATATATGTACATATGTATAACAACTAGTGAATGATTTCTTTTTCTTTTCATTATTAATATTTTTAAATTTTTAACAGAAATTTGGAAAGCATTACTATAAATATCTATATATAAAGGCCAAGTAATAAGTAATCCATTATTTTTGCAATTGATGTCTTTTGTGATATCTCTGCCGGGCTCTGGAAGTGCACTTGGATTACGCTAGAAGCCATTAGGCAGATGATATATTTTGCTAAAAGCGATAACGAGAGATTAACTCAACAATGGACGCAAGCAAAAAGAAAATACGCCATATTCAGCGAGTTCTCATCGTTAAAGTCCACAACACACGCCAGGCAGCAGGAAGCTGAATATGTGAATGATGTTTATAATTCTAGTACTATAGCTGTCAATGCACAAGTTTTGTTCCGGTAATGTGTTCCACGGTGTGTTAGGTTAATTGTCAAAAGTGTCACTAATAGTCTCGAGTCTGAACGTCATGGGAGCATTGTTCCGATTGCCAAGGAGCTAAACATTGAACAGATAATAATTTTGAGCCGTTTGAAATAGTGTGGATATAGAAAGAAGATCGATGTAGTGGGTGCCAAATGAGTTGGCGAGTAAAATGTTCATGGATTCCAAAATCATAGCTCGTCCCTCTGGGCAAAGCATGTACCCAGAAGCGCCAAGTTTTGGCCAACCGAAATGGAATTTTATTCCAACAGCACAACGCTAAAACACAAACACATCGTTAGTGACTCAGCAGTAGTTCCGAGAGTGCGGTTGCGAGGTTTTTACGTATCCATCTTATAGTTCGGATGCCACACAAAAGGATTACCATCTGTCCCCCCTACGAGTTAGGTGTTAAATAATTTACCCGCGGGCCTTTGCATCGCAATATTCCCCAAAAAGTATTCTTCTACGGTGAATTCTCAAAGAAAAAATTTATTAATTTTGTTTTAATTACCGAGCAAATTCGTTCTGGTCCTTCTGACCTCCTGGAAATTAGACAGTACCTGGTACAACAATGTTATATATTTATAAGCATAAATTCAATCGGTCAAAGCAACGCAAAACCGTACACACACACTCACAATACGCTCAACTCATTACAACTAAGCTAGTAAAGCTGTCAAATTTTGAGTGTTACCAGAGAAAATAAAAACAAAAAGCAAAAAGCCAAAAAACCAAAAAACGAACAACTCAAGCGGCCAGCGACAGCAATGGCAATGTCGAGTAACTAACAACCAGAAATCATAAATAATAATAGCGGTTGTAATGGAAAAGAACAATTA